TATTAGTGTGAATATGTGAGTTACTTTATATGGGCCAGGTCACAGGATTAGGTTTCAGGATCAATCCCTTTTCTAACTACTATTGTCACTAAATACTGTACTTCTTCACTGATGATGGCATCTCCACCCAGTGATTATCTTCTTAAATCATCACTTCTGTCACTTCGTCTTGATTGTGCTACCTGTATCTGATGTTCAAGGTATCATTACTTAACCCCTTGAGGATGATGATATTAGCTATCATCATCCTTAATTGATAAACCATTGATTGATTAAGCCATCATTGTGAAGGTGTTAGGCTAACATCGTTTAAACAATTATGATCATAAGTTGAAATATCATCATTAAGTAGTTAACTGGCCATTCTAAATGTGTTAAATCATCATCTTGTTCGACTATCATCCTCAAAGAGTTTAACCATCCTCACTATGTAATTAAACCATCATTCTAAATTTGTTAAACGTTCTTCATCTTAAATTATCATCCTTAGAGGGTTAAACCAGGGGTTCTCAAGCTTCGTTCAGTGGTACCCACTCTACTGTTGTCAGCTATTCAGTATGACTCCAAGTGGTTAAGGAAGACTAGATCAGAGTTGTGAAGTGTCATGAAATATGCATGAAACTCATGCATCTGCATGATATTTTTCTCTCAAATGCAATAAGATTATCTTGTGTAGTTTTGTACTGTATATAAAGTTTTATTATAGTACGTTCTACAGTAAAAATACCCAAAGATGGGGAAAGTTGAAGTAAATAATATTACAGTACATTAAAAATTTTTTTTCTGAATTCATATAATGCAAATGTACATTACTTTCTGCACTGATAAGATAGACAAGGCACATGCATGTAACAATGTGCATTTATTGAAATCTTGGCATATTAATGAGGAGTCTAAAGATGAACAACGGTATTGTTTAAGTACCCCTGTACAGTACATATATTTAAGTATGTAAAAAAAAAGTTACAAATCTGTAATGTAATTGTAAGTAACTGAGACAGGGCAAGCCATTGCATGTGCAAATGAATATTTGATTATTTTTCTATAGTTGGAAGTATACTGTATGTGGTTAATTTCATAGAGTTAGCCATTTTCTAAGTTGGTATCTGATAATATATGGTTACAATATTTAGATATTATGTACACCATTAAAGAGAAAGCTGCTTCACAGATGGAGACAGTTCCAAATTGTACTAGAACTCTTAACAGCATGATTCTTGACCACTGTGTGTCTTCAGTAAGCACATACAAAACTTGTTAAGGTCATCCCAGATATCAAAATTTATCCTTGTTTCATTGTAGACCTGAAAATCTGCCATTTCAAAAGCAAAGGAGCCACACTTTTTTGCATCAGTCTTGTATGGGAACTGCGCAAAATCAAAAGACTCAGTCAGCAGCTCGGGGGATCTCTCATGAAGGTTTGCTGAAAGGTTGTGTAAATATTACATTTATTCCTGCTTCTCCCCCGTAAGGTCTACTGTGTCATGAAGATCCAATTCTATTGTGGCTGTGAATTGTAAGTACTGTACAGTAATGAGGGAAATGAGAGAAATTGCCAGCTTCAACTTGACTGCTGGAGTATATGAGAAAAATCGATTTTTATAAAATTTCAGTCTTTTTTTATTTGGAATGTCTCCTTAACTTAAGGTAATTGATGTTAATCCAAAGACCTAACCAGACCTCACATACCTCAACTGCTTTTTTTACCTTGGGAAAATGACCGCACTATTCCCTTAACCTAACCAGGCATCAAATGTAACAGTTATAAAGTATAACCTTAACACATGAGCTCTATGGCACCTTGTGATGAGGCTTGTGACCCTAGGTTTGGGAATCCCTGGGTTAAGCTAATCCCTATTTAATCCATCTATTCTAAAAGTGTCAAAGCATCCTCCTCAAACTCCTAAACCATTACCATTAAAAGTAATTAAACCATCTTCTTAAAGATTTTAAACCATTGTCCTCAAAGGGTTACAGTAATTCTTTTATGTTTTACCACAAGACCTACATAATGGTAGTTTCCTCCACATCTCCATCAGTATGTGTCAACAGGTTAGTAGTGTATTGTATAGGAATGTCTCAACGACTGGTGATATTTTTGTCCTGATGAGGTTGAAGAAATTTTTACAGTTGTTTATGTTTACTATTTGTGTGTGTGAGTTTTTGCATGCATGTGTGCGTTGAAGGGGTGTCCATTTCTTAATACAGTATCTACTTGTAGCTTATATTATGGTCTTCACTGATTTCTTAGAATCTTCCACCACATTGCTGTTAGAATTAAAGTTATTTGTTAACTCTGCCACTATTTGTATACACTGAAGCATTCATTAAGCTTCTAGACTAATATCTTTAAGCTGGTATTCCAGTTCAGGGAAATATTGTATTTTACCTTTTTCCTTGTTATTAAAATTGGATGCTGCCTCAAGAATCCTTCTAATTGATTAGCTTCAAGTTTGAAACACTCGCATTGACATTAGGGGGTGTGTCTTACCGCTTTGGGGTGGTGAAGCCTCCTGGTGGCTATTTTTTAAATAATTTTCTAGTTTGTGCCATTTTCAATCAGATTTTCATTACTGCTTTCAGAGGAGACTGTAATAGAATCTTATCAAGGGGATTCATGTTTTATTAGGGTTTCTTAACTACTTCTATACAATAACAAGCCAAGATAGAATGAAAAAGTCTCCCAGTCCTCACCAGGTGATCAGATGATAATGGAGGTATTAAGCGTGTGTAATTTTGACCTGAGCAGTGTCTTGATAGTTTCAAAATTAAACGGTTTTGGTTTGTGACGGAGGTTTTGAAATTCCAAACTGGAAATAACTGTAGCAAGTCTGAGATGTTGGTATCTGCCAGTGGATTACTGTATATAAGATTGGATATAATGTGGAATGTGAGAGTCAAAAGGATTCAAAGTATTGTGGAGAGAATGATTTATTGAGTTGAACGTATGAAGAAAATAAATAGAAGAGTGAAGTTGAGTGAGGCAAGTGGGAGTGATTTACTTGATACAGTACAGAGGAATACTGGAGTGAAGGCATGAAGGATGTTGATAGAAAATGTCTTCAGCAGGTGTGAATTATGAGGCTCATTAATTAAAATGAAGAGTAAGTAAACAGTAATGCTATATTCTGTAATCAGTATTTTTTTAATTATCCCCAGACAAACCCAAATTGCTTTGTGCAGTTCTGTGATTCAGGTCTAAGGTTTTCATGTTTTAATTTTAATTTTTATACTTGGTAACTTTTGTCTTACAGTATTTATATTTTGAATGTTTTGTCAGAACCCATTCAATGAGTTAGCTACATATTCTGAATAAGTTGTAACGTGATTAAAAGTGGAGGATTGATCCTGAAATCCCTTTTCTAACTGAGCCTGTAGCTTGGCAGCTCATGTAATGTGCTTACCAAGCCATAGGTTCAGGGTCCAGAGAAACCCATGACATTGGTGAATGGTGTTGAATTGGACTATTATTTTCCATCGCTACCCATTGCAGCCATCGTTTGATAAGAAATGAGATTAGAAGCAAGGTGGTCATTCAGAACTGTGTCTCAGTAGTGTAGTTTGTATGTTCCTTGCACCTCAGTTGTCAGTCCTTTCATATGGATTTCAGATGCAAAGTTCCATTTATTTTTCACCTCACTGTCCTCTACCGGGGTTATAAAGCCACTTGGCTACAGATCTGGTTAGGAAAAGGAATTTCAAGAGCACTCCTCCATTTCTAACTTACTCCCTACTGCTAAGCAGCTCTTGTACAGGAAGCCAACTAGAAATGGAAGGGGTGGTATTAAGTGTTCTAAATGCAAGGGAGATATTTTTCACCTCAGTTTTTCATCATAACTTGAGAAGCCCTGGGATTCTGATTCTAGAGGCGAGGAAACAGCCAGACAGCCTCCACAGACACATTAACTTCTTCCAAATATTACTTGCAGGCGACCTACTTCACTATAGAGTTAATCCGGTGATACTGAAAAGAATATTCTGTTACCATATTCAAAATCACACGAGGAATTGCCTAATTGGAATATGAGCTATTTCCTGTAATAAAACTACCGTTGCTGGCTGACTGAGCAACATAAGGCAAACTAGGTCAGGTTTTCCCCTTGATATAGCCTGCTCATAGCCAATGCCATTTCACTGGCTTGCAGGTGAGACTCGGGAATGGATCTTTATATACCTGTACTTTGAACAAATCCTATGAACTGATATAAACAAGTCCAAAAATTGCTCTTACCTGAATAATAACACCTTGAATTATTTCATTCATCCAACTAATCCCTGAACTGCAGTAGAAATTAGACCAAGCTGCATTTGTCTTATATCTATGGAGATGCAGACTGGAGACTAAATGGAGCTTTGCATCTCAAATCCAAAATGGTAGGCCCACCAACTGAGGTGTTTTGTGTTTACTTAGAACAGTGGTTGCAATGTGAAGAGATCGACAATCATCAGATTACTGTATTCCCAGCCACCAATGTCATGGGTGTCCCTGTGTTCTGACCCCTTGGTTTAATGAGTGTATTGTGTGAGCCACTTAGCAGTAGGACGTTGGTTTGAGGCAGTTATACACTTGATTTTGATATTGCTGTACAGTATTTACAAATATTGTATCAGCTGGTGTGTGAATTTGCATGGAGGATGCTGCATTTCACCGTATTCAGGTTGAGGGCTTTTAGCATGATTTTTTCTGAAGCTTAATTACCTTTTTTGGATGTAAATACTTTAGCTCAAGGTCAGTGGTAAGAGCTTTAATTAACTTAGATAATCAGGACATAACACATTTTGCTTATGCCACTTTGGAAGCCTTAACACAATTTTAGGTTTCATTTCACTAACTTCATTTTCGTTTAGCATCTAGACTTAACGTATAGTAGCTGAAAAAGTAATGTTTTTTTAATATCTATGATATAATGTGTGTGAAATAATGAATTATATTTGTCACTTAGAATAGATATTAAATAAAAAAGTTATGATATTTATAAGTTTCATCCTCTTGTTTCCAGTACCTTGTCCACTAGTCCCTCCAGATAATGTTGTACCAGAGACTTCATACTCTAGCTCAGAAGATGAAGACTTCTTTGATGCTGACGACTTCCCCGGTGCCACTCCATCACAGAGCCCTAGGTGAGTACAGCCTTCTTGGTTCTTTCATGTTGGTGATGATGGGGATATTTTTTTCTTTATCTCTTGTATTATATCAATTTGTGTGGTTTATGTAATAATTGCTGACCTTAATTTGGATCATTTTCATTTAACCTCAAGAAACATGAGGTGTTTTGAGTGAAATTGTAAATGAATTTAAAGAAAAAGTAGTATCAGAGTTTTCTCCAAACAGGTATGATCTATATTAACCCAAGTACTGTAGTACCTGTACAGTACTTTGATTGCCCAATGGAAATGTCAGATTCGATTACTACTTAAAACACACATACAAAAAGTGCAATAAGAGTGTAGTTATTGAATCTGCTGTGGGATGTGAGAGTTATCCTATACTGTACATGAGAGACATAATAAAGTAAATAGAGCCAATTAATTGTTTACTGTACAGTATTTTGATGGTATGACAGTACTGTATGCAGTTAATGACTTTGAAAGCTTCCCGTTGATGAACTATTGAATGACTTCGGACACTCAAAGTATTTACAATATATTATTTTCCTGTTGTTTATGTACAGTACTGTGATATTATTACTACAAAATTCTTTTTTTTAGTTGTTATATGTATCACTACAAACTATAAGAGGAGGATTATACAAGATAAAAAAAAATTTAATCTGTGTGAAAATAGCAAGTGATATCAAACTAAGTTGGGATGTTTAGTTACTGTTATATACTGTACAGATCAATATTTCATGACGTTTTTGACATTTCATGTTGTTCAAAATTACTGTACTGTATATGTTTACATAATACTGTAAGAATCAGAAAATTACCCTCAAATTTATTTAGGATCATGTAGCTAAGGTTTCCACAGTACAATACGTAGTTTGGCTACTGTGTATTGGTGTGTTACAGTACGGTACTGCACTGTGTCACATTGACCTAGGAGGAACACTCTCAGAAGTAAGAAGTGTTGTGTATGTTGGTTTGGCTTCACTTTAATTGATGCTGTTGCCTTTTGTTAACATGTTAACCTGATATGTTGGATATAATAACATGTGAATGGACTTTGGCTGTACAGTACCTGTAGTGAGTTACAGAGGCACTATGTGCAAATACAGTACCCTAAAGAGTTAGAGTATAGCCATGACCCTCGGAAATGAGTAAATCTGTCATTCAGAGAAAGTGAGTTTTTTGGCTGTCTCTTTTTGATGATGCTTCCATGTGTAATGGAGTCAAGACAATCATGTACCGGTACTTATAACTCTGTTAACATTTGCTATTTTATTTATTTATTTATTTTTTAAATGAATTAAATAATGAGGGTTCAAAATACCACTATCCACTTTCTGGACACAATCTCTAGTAGCAACAGACAATTACAAATTGCATCATTACTTACTTATCTCTGAACCCAAGTTTTCTTACTTAGTACAGAACTACCATTGCCTTTTAAGACTAAATTTGGTTAGGTTTGGTCTCCTAGCACATGATGAATAACAGTACTGTGCCTTGATTGAGTATAAGTGAAACAAAATGAATTGTTTTAACACAAGGTAAGTCATGGTTACAAAAAAATAAAATTACCTTTTGCTTCAGTAAATTTTGGCATAATATTTGCAGGTTAATCACATTGCTTTTTATGTAAAATTGAAACTGTTGATTAAGATGTACTGTATGTCATCACCTGGTTGTACGAGTATACATGGTTTGTGAAACAATCTACATTATTCAAGAAAATTTTGAGTATCCTGACATGAAGACCTTAGTGGTTCACAGTAGGCAATACAGTACCCCATCATTTGCTCCATGACAGCAGTGTGACCAATATTTCACCAGAAAATTATCTTCATGATGTCTGTGATTATGAGAGGGAAACCCATTCTCACTTTTTGGGGACATGATGAGAGGTGTTTGTTGCTGTTGTATGATATTAAATTACCCTCTGTATATGCTTATATTTCTCAACTTATTGTGTCGCATTTATCTGCATTATTCTTTAGGTCTTTAGTCATATCACAGAACACTATGAGTCCTTGTTGCCCTCCAGTACATGTATTGGTAGATCTCACAGTGTACACCTTCATGACACTTGTACTATCGTGGACAAACGTTCACTCCCTGTGGTGAAACTGAGTCATGGGAATGAGTCTCCGAACTGACTTATGCTGACTGTCATCTGGTGTGGGTGTGCTGTTTTATCTCATTTGGGGTCGATACTGCTTCACTTTCGGAGGGAGCGAACTTTTGTTCATGATAGTGCACCCCTATGGAACTGTTGTACACCCTTATGACACTTGTACATCCCATGATATTGTTGTACACCCCATGACATTGTTGTACACACCTTGGCACTGTTTTACACCTCATGGTTAGATTAGTTTAGAGTAGGTTAGGTTTGAAAGGATGATAGACTTAGAAACATGTACCTTAAAACAATCCTCAATTGAAGTGAATAAATTCCTTTCTGTATGGTGACAATTTATAACATCCTGAGACCATCACTGATTCTATAAATATGTCATGATCTGCTGCCTTAGTGTAGAATAACGTGATGGCCAGGAGTCCAAGGAGATGATATGTCGCCCTGGTGTGTATGTGTGAGACAGCATCAGAAAGGTGTTGCCATTCAAGGAAACTGTGTTATATTACATTCGTACGTGTGAGATAGGGGGCGGAGGTTGACGTAAGCACATGATTAATCTTTCATACTTATCTGGAATACAGGAAGTGAGATAGTTATAGATAGTAGACCGTGGGGTACAAACCTACTCCTGTTTACCAGCACAGAGGTTAACTGGCAAGTGTTGTAGCAAGTCGTCGTATAAGCAAACTCATTCCTTGATCGGTTAATACTTCGATGATGTGCACATATTTTCATTACCATATACCCGGGCTTGATGCCTTGCTAGCCTCCCACACACTCCTACACACTACCGCGAGCTACTCCCATCTTGTGATATTCTTAAAAAAAAAAATTATTATTATTTTTGTGTGTTATATTTCAACGTGTTTGTGTTGTGAGGTCGGTAGCTAGTTATCTGGCTTGTGTTAAGTGTTGAGGAAGGATGTG